CCCCCTTTTTCAAAGCAAATGTAAGTGCATTTTCTTTTGAAAGAAAAAGCACAGTTTTACGTTCCATCCATGTTTGTTAGTTTTTTTTAATAAATGTGAAAGTGACTCAGCTGTTGTACTGTTTCTTATCCCCAGGGTGACCAAGAAGGAGGCTACCTCTATTTCAAACCTTTGAGGGACATGAAGATGAACAGATCAGAAATGCAGATGGACAACACCTGGAGTAAATGTGTCTATTCTAGTGTAAAGCAGTAAAGTGGACAGGCTTTTGGTCTCTGTGTATAAACACAGGACCTTGTGAGGTTCTCTTTGAAGCATGACTTCCCTTATAAAAGACATTTACAGTTACTATTTCATTCATTTCCTCACGCCACAATTTAACATGGACAATAATGACATTTGTGTTTCAGACTATTAAAAGTGTCTGTTATGTATATAAAAGAATTATGTGTATTTGTATTTTAATATCATGATAATAATGATCACTTTTTTTTTGCATCGTGAATTTTAGTCCCTCCCCCTTCTCAACCAAAATAATAAAAATATTTTGAATATTCTGATGTTTGTGTGTTGAGATCAGACGTGAGTATGAGTGGAGCGTGAATACAGTGGTTTGAAGTGCCCGCCCGCTTCCCTTCCACCGCACTGTAAAAGACTCATTGCCCTCAAACGCTGCAGTTGTTGTTGTTGCTAAGCGTGGCCCAACCAGTTATTAGGTTTTACGGGGTGAACACTTTTTCACACCGGGCCATGTAGGGTTTTTCTTCTTAATAGTAAACACCTTCATTTGAAAACTCCCTTGTTTGTTTATATGTGTTATATTTAAATGTGTTTGATGGTCTAAAACGTTAAGTGTGACAAACATACAAAAAAACAGGAAATCAGGAAGGGGACAAATGCTTTATCACACCACTGAATGCATGTAGCCACAAACTACAGCTGTAGTAGTAATTAGCTCAGGAAGAATATTCAAAATATGCCTGGATTTGCTTTGTTTTTATGGATGACTGGCCTATTGACATCGCAGCAAGTCCAGAATATGGGCAGTCCTCTCTCCCTCTATGCATCTCTGCTGGAATTCTGAGATCCAATGATCTAAACTGTTAATGTTACAGGACCGCTGGGAACAGACCGAAAACACCTCCATACATCCCAGTTGTCAGGCGTTGTGTGGAGGCGAGGAGGAAGGAACCCAAA